TTGCTGTTGTAGCCCATCCACCTCAAGGTTCATAGTGTTGTGTATTCTGAGATGGTTTTCATCAACTGCACCATCGAACATCATGGGCACAAAAAAAGTGAGTAAAAGTTATGCCATGTTTGGTGGGGCTAATTGGTATTCCTTGCTAACGTTCTGGTGTTTTCTCAACTAGATAAAGCACAAGAGATACAAATAGACTGCTTAACGCAATTGCCAGTCACTGTCAATTGTAATTCATGATCAATTCTTAGCACTCAAAAATGATCAAGAGAAACTGCAGCTACTACATGCTTCACCTATCTGTCTACATGTGACAGAATGACGAGAGCAAACTTTGGTAATAGGAGAGCTGAAGGTTTTTCCTATTTATCTTCGCTATCCAAAGATTTCTCCTTTTCTGGCTGAGCTCTTCGTCTCTTCCCTCACAATGTTGGACAGCTGGGATGCTCACAAAAGCTTACATCATTTTGTTTTTTGTTGCTGTTGTCACTGCAACCATGAACCACAGAGCACACCATGGCTTTAGTTTATCTGTCAGGATGCTTTATTAACTAACAGTGTACAAACAGTGGCTCTATCAGCACCGCTGTCAACAAGCATGACGTCAATCCAATACTATCTATACCGATGTCTAAAAGATGGCCCTGTCACCCTGTAACCAGACCCCCCATCTAAAATAAAATTCTGCCTACTTTACTGCTCCAGGGTGTCCCATTCTATTGGTCAGTGCTTTTTCTATGGAGATTAAACAATCTGCATATGCAGCTGATCACGTGTCAACACCAGCACTGAGGGCACCTTAAAGTAGTCTAATTAATCAATTAGAAGGAGTGTCTAGATACTTTTGGACACAGTGCACCTCACAAAAGTGATACATGCAAAATTGAGTTTAAAATCACAGAGTACATGAGGCTGGACAAGGGTTAGCCTTATCTGCGTTTGACAGAGGCAGAGGCATCTTATCTTAAAAACCTATTTGGAGATAAAGGATAGGAAGTCAATTCCAATAAACAGGAGCATGCAGGAGGGTCTAAGCCCTGACATTCACAGCAATGAACACCCAAAAGAAAACAATGCACTGCATGCAGCATCTGTGGAACCGCGCTTACTACACACTGCAGAAAATGGCATCTTGTCAACTGAATCTTGATCTTAAATCTAGTCGAAATATCTAATATTTCCCATTTTGAGATGGTTGTGCACTTATTGTAAGATTACTTATCTTATTTCTAGGCATTTTTTACCTGTATTAAGTAATTTTAATTAAATAAAATAAGCTCACTATACTGGCAGATAATTTTGCTTGTTTCATTGTGTTTATTGTTTTCTGAGGCTGTATCTACTGAAGCAGCATCAAAACTAACACTGACACTGTTCATGATCAGGCTCAGATAGGGTAGAGCCTAAATCAATACTCAAGTAAACGTATTGATACTTGCATAAAGCAATAAAGTAAAAGTATCTTCCCCAAAACATGAGTAGAAATACAAAAGAAGCAGGATAAAAATCTACTTAAGTACTGAGTACTGCAGTGGAACTTCTTGCTATATCCAGCATTTATCATAGGAACTGAAGACTGTGCGACTCTGTTCTTTTTTTTGTGATTCTTTTGGTCTAAAGCTCCAAATCAGAGATGGAACAAATTACAAAGCCGTACAAATATTGCCACCATTAAAACAAACTGAAATTTAACAAAAAGGTAAAAAGGTACCCCAGTAAAAATATCCTTTACTTACTAATATACTGAAAATACTCAGGAGAGTAAAAATCCACAAATAATTAACCGAAGCACAGGTACTTGAGTAAATGTAACTAGTTACTACCCACCTCTGAATAGGTTTATAAAGACACGTCATTAGCATTACAAGAAAGGCAATTTTAGTCAGTGGCCTAATTGCATTATGTCACTTAGCCAGCCAATTTTTTTTTTTTTAACAATTTGTTTTGCCCCACCACTTTTGGAGGTGTGGCGCCACCCCTGACATCCTGTCTTGCCCTGTCTTTGTCTTTCTCTGTTTCAGCCTTTTGCTCCATGTGCTTTTGTTTATGTCAGCCATGTGCTTTTGTTGTTGTTTTGGTCTTTGTCCCCTCCCTGGTTCTGCCTTCTTGTTATCTGTCTCACCTGTGTGTTGTCTGTAGCCCCTCTCTCTCATTAGTCCCTAGTGTTTCTGTTCTGTGTGTACTTATACCCCTGCTTGTGTGCTTCGTGCTTGCTTGGTGTTTTGTTCTCTCAGGCCCTGTGTTGGATATCTCTCCTTTTTTTCTGATTTTCTTCATGTCCCTCTGGCTTTGGTTTTCTTTATGTTTCAGTATTTGTTCAGTAGTGTTCGGTCTTTGTTTTCGCCACCTTTGTGGACATCGTTTTGTCATGGATGTTTAATAAAACCACAGACTTGCACTTGCATCCTGCCTCTTCATCTCTCCATTCATTACACTGGGCTGAAACACTTTTTATAACTTCAGCCTGAATGAGAGGGGCTAAACTACTGTAGGCTCAGTAGGTGGTGTTACATCACAAAACAGTTTTCAAACGGACACCTTAAATGGACACCAACTTAGGGGGAGTGAACAGTGCATTTGGAAACTTTAACAGTATTTACTTATTACTTTAACCTCATTTATTTAAAAAGAAGCAAGAATAAATGTGATTTTCCTCAGTAAGGGCCCTTTAAGACGCACACTCCTATACTGTCTATTTTAAGGCCTAGCGGTCTATAGCTGCGCTGACTGACTGCTTCTGCTCTTTATCTGTCTCTTTTTTTATGTTCATCGCTCTCCTCGTGCTTCCTCTGCTGAGATACAGTGAGAGAGAAAAGGAGAGCATCACGCTACTGACTCCACGGCATAAAGCCTGGCCGAGGGGAACGGAGGCTGATGATGTAAGCGCTTATGCAATCCCCATGCGCGAGATATACACGCACACACACACACACACACACACACACACACACACACACACACACACACCCTGCGAGGACGATGCTGCTGCTTAGCACTAAACCCTGGAACACCAGTGACTTTTATGGACAGAGAGCTGGTCTACAGCCCAGCCACGCCCTGAGAGAGAGAGAGAGAGAGAGAGAGAGAGAGAGAGAGAGAGAGAGAGAGAAGGGGGTTGGCATGGAGAATGGGGAAAGGCGAGAGAGGAATGGTAGAGAACAAGAGAGAGATGAGGAGAAAGAGAGTGGGGAGAAATGAGAGAGAGAAGACGGAGAGAAAGGGGGGAAATGAGAGAAAGAGAGGGTGAAATGAGAGAGAGTGGTGAGAGAAAGTTGGCACAAAGAGAGAATAGGTTAGAAATGAGAGAACGAAAGAGAAAGGGGAGAAATAAAGAGAGATGGTTGAGAGATAGAGAGAGAAAGAGAGAGAGATAGGGGGATGAGAAAACGAGAAAGAGAAAGGGGAGAAAGGAGAGACTGAGATGGTAGAGAGAAAGAGAGAAATGAAAGAGAGAGGTGTTAGAAAGAAAGAGGAAGAAATGCGGGAGAGAGAGAGAGAGAAAAGGGAAAAAGGAGAAACGGAGATAGGAGAGGGAGAGATAATAGAGAGAGAGAAAGAATGAAAGCAAGAGAGGGATGGAAGAGAGACAAAGGAGGAGAAATGAGATGGAGGGAGAGAGAGAGAGAGACGTGTTAGAGAGAATGAGAAAGAGGAAAGGGGAGAAAGGGGAGAGAGAAGGAGAGAGAGGGGGATGAGAAAACGAGAAAGAGAAAGGGGAGAAAGGAGAGACTGAGACAGTAGAAATGAAAGAGAGTGGGGAAGAGAGAGGTGTTAGAAAGAAAGGAAGAAATGCGAGAGAGAGAGAGAGAGAGAGAGAGAGAGAGAAAGAAAAGGGGAAAAAAGAGAGACAGAGATGGAGAGAGAAAGAATGAAAGTGAGAGAGACAGATGGAAGAGAGACAAAGGAGGAGAAATGAGAGAGACAAAGGAGGAGAAATGAAAGAGACGTGTTAGAGAGAATGAGAAAGAGGAAAGGGGAGAAAGGAGAGAGAGAGGGAGAGAAAGAGAGAGAGAGCGATGGCAGAGAGACAAAGGGGCAGAAATGAGAGATGGAGGGAGAGCGAGGGAACGTCTCGCGCTGCCGCTCGTGGCTTTTTGAAAGGCGCGAGAGTCGAAAAGGTCTGTTGAAAAGGTCTGCCGTCAGCACGGTCTCGCGGGTCTCGCGCGCTGGTCCGCTCCTGTCGCGCGCGGCGCTGCAACCCTCATAACCATGCAAGGCGAGCGCGCGTTTCCTCTGCGGTTTAAATCACCATTTCACTGTTTATCGGTCCTGAAATCCATCAGCCAATCACAGCCCAGAGGGGGCGGGTCTCTCTCTCTCTCTCTCTCTCTCTCTCTCTCTCTCTCTCTCTCTCTCTCTCTCTCATCCGCGTGTTCAGCAGCAGCGCAGTGACTCGCGCTCCACTGCGGCGGGTGAGCGAGAGAGAAAGAGAGACCGACTCCAGCGCGTGCCGGAGCTGCTGGTGGTGTCGCGAGGGGGGACGTTAACGCTCCGAGCGCCACTGTGTATTTTTTTCCCGCCCTCGCGCTCTCGCGTGCTACGTTTTTACCGGCTCGGTTCGTGTTTTTGTGGTCAGTCGAAGGCAGGCGCGTGTGCTATTCTGTCCCGCGCGCTCCGAGCTCCGTTTCTTCTCCTCCTGACTCACTAACGGCTCTTCTCCGACCGAATCATTTCCGGTCCCCCCCTCCCACTCCTCCTCCTCCTCCTCCTCTTTACTTATCTGGATGCGACACCGTCCTGCAGAAAGTAGGATGAAGTTTCTCCGCGTGTGCGTGGCCAGACGCGCGCGCTGGTGCGCATGAAACGCCTCGGTCGCCTTTTCTCTCCTTTTTGGCGGTAAAAAACGCGGTTTTGGCGCCTTTTTTCCCCCCTCAGAAGATGACGAGGTCTGCTCGCGACTTTCTGAACTGCACTTAAAACAAGAACACCGAGAGGGCCCGCCGGTGTCTCGAGGGTGTCCTCGCGCCCTCCTCCTCCTCTTCCTCCTCCTCCTCCTCCTTCTCCTCCTCCCCCTTCTCCCTTCTCTCTGATCGCGCGCTGCGGCGAGAGCTCGAGAGCGCATCGCGGAAAAACCGAGAAGAAGGAGGGAAAGAAGAAGAGAAAGACGCGGAAAGGGTGGGGAAGGAAACAAAAAAGGAGGGATGAAGAAGTTCCGGAAGGTGCTGGACGGCCTCACCACGTCGTCGCCCGCGAGTGCGGGCGGATCTCCGTCGTGCGGGAGCGCGGCGGGAACCCCTACCGCGGCGCCCACCCCGCGCGAGCTGGACGTGCACGAGACGCTGCTCTCCGAGCACTTCCACATCTGCAAGGTGGGTGACCGACCAACCCCCCCCCAACACCCACCAAAACATGCCCCGCTCGCGCACACCTCAGCGTCTCGGCATCACTGGTTATGAATTCAGGTGCTTAATTGGAGCTCGAGGCTCCGCCATGGCGCCCGCCGTAAACTCTCCACAAGAGGGTCTCTTTACGGAGCTCCGAAGCGCGAGCTAATCCAACCCAGTGGGCGGCGCCAAACGTTTTCGCGCCTTTTCCACATTTCCACATCTGGTTTCTTTACTGGAGGCTAGTGCAGATGTTTGGCTGGTACTTTAAGATCCTACACTTGGTGTTTTAATGATGTCCACCAACATTAACGGTACTAATGGGGAGTTCTTCAAGGGTTCTTTAGTAAAGGGAACGGTTCTATTTGGAACAATTGTTTGTTTACAGAGTCAATTCATGCTTGCATGGTGAAATAGTTTGCCAGATTGATGAAGAGTGTGTTGTATGGTTCTGTATAGAACCCTTTGGAAAGCTTGACATCATAAAAATAGAGGAACTCTTCTTGGTGCTACATAGAACCATTTTCTAAGACGCTATAGAACCATATACAACACATTCTCTGTTAATCCAAAGAATGATTTCACCATGCAGAGAACCATTTAAGATTGAAATGGTCCTAGATTGAACTCATGGTTCTAATTAGAACTAAAGAACCCTTGAAGAACCATCTATTTTAAGAGTGAAGATGTTGGACCATTGCTGTGAGGATCTGATGGTAGCCACAAGAGCATTTGACCATGCAGAGAACCATTTAAGCATGAGTGAAGGTGTTGGACCATTGCTGTGAGGATTTGATGGCAGCCACAAGAGCATTTCACCATACAAAGAACCATTTAAGCATGAAATTGTCCTAGATAGAGTTAATGGTTCTAAATAGAACTAAAGAACCCTTGAAGAACCAGGTATCTTTTTTAAGAGTGAAGATGTTGGACCATTGCTGTGAGGATTTGATGGCAGCCACAAGATCATTTCACCATGCAAAGAATCTTTTAAGCATGAAATGGTCCTAGATAGAACTCGTGCCTCAAAATAAACTAAGGAACCCTTGAAGGACCATTTATTTTAATAGTGAAGATGTTGGAACATTGCTGTGAAGATTTGATGGCAGAGCATTAGTGAGGTCAGGTACTGTTGTTGGATGATCAGTTCTGGAGCTCCAGCTCATCCCAAAGGAATTAGTTGGAGCTCCATCAATCCAAAGAAGGCAGCTCTGCAGCTCCACGGTCCAGTGTTGAGGCTTGGCGTTGGGCATGGTGACCTTAGGCTCATGGGCAGCTGCTCCAGAGCATTCAACTCTATTGATAGTGCTTTTCTATGGGGATTATATTCGTTATTCTCATTATATTCAGTTAACTAAATAGAGGAGACGTCTGGATGCTTTTGGACGTAGCGCATTAACTTTATAGAAGGTTTTTAGCTTTAAAGTATGTTAATGTTGACAACAATGTTGGGCCCAGTCATCAAAAAACAACGAGAAAATTGAGTTATAAGGCTTTGATATGTGTTGACGTGATGATTTATCAGTAGTTCCCAGAAACCTCAGCTCTGAACACCTGAACCAGCAATTCAGTCATAAAAACCTGGTGCAAGTGTGCTAAAAGCTTAGATACGGCCAAAAGAGGGAATCCTTTAGGGGTTCCTAAGAACTAGATTGGGAAACAATGCAGTATAAATATATACTGACAATTCTTTAGGCAGATTATCGTAGAAAGTAGCTAATGATCCGACTCCTGAGTCAAACAGAAGGACATACAGAAGGCTACCCTTTCCCATCAGCAAACACATTTTAGCTATTATTTGGCACATGACTCTGTTTACCTTTACACCATTGCTTCAGATACTGAGGAAGGTCTAGTTATGGATGCTGTGTTTCTATAAAGGGTTTCAGTCATCCGGTACAACTAGCCCTGCAGTACTTACCACTACTAGCTGGTGTGTGCACTGGGTTTATAGCACAGGATAAATATATCCATGCACCAGAGAGGAAAGTGGCCAGTGTGCTTTAGAGGGACATTAAGTACACTGAAAAAAATAATGATGCATTGAATTGGCTTGATTCATTGGCATGAATAAAATACATTAGCCTTTTGTTTGTTCAGGCTTCTTTTGGCAATAATTTTATGTATAATATAACCAGCAGTGTAGGCAGAAAAATCTTTTTGCATAGGCCTGTGAAAAAGTGGTTAGGCCAACTTGGATGCAGTTTCTGAATGTGCTAATGTCCTGAAGTGTCATAATATCAGGCTGTAGCTTATTGCTGACAGCAGAGTAGTCATCACCCTACCTGTTCCAATGCTTCCACCTTATGGTGATACAACAAGAGCAAGACTGTGTACAGCAGAATTAAGGACTCACAGAAACCCAATGAATATGGCAACACCCTTCACTGGGAAGCATGTGTCCAAACACGACTGGCACAAACTTAGCCCAATGAGGACGACATAGCCGAGTTTAAATCAGACAAGTATTAACATATAAGTATACAGATGAGGAAAAACAATATAGTAAACTTAAAAACATGAACCTAATCATCCTAGGATAAAGCATACTGCCATAGCCAGCATGCAAAATATTTATGGACCATTTATGTCTTACCTTTGATGGCTCAAAGCATTGAAGTGGACATTTGTAGAAAGAATGATGTTTGCCTGAAATGTTGACCATTTTAAGTTTTTTCCAATTGTTAATACCACTGGTATTAAAAAAATGTTTTTTGGCTTTGGAAATGGTTAGACATACTCTATTGTGGATGGAATCTCACTTTTACAGGCCTCCCAGATACATCTTTTGACCACAGCTGGAGCTTCAAATTCAAACACTGGCATGCTGCTAAAGAAACGAAGATTTAAGGCATTGGCGGATAGCAAGCAGTGATCAGAGGGCTGAGAAAATAAGACAGGCATTGGTCGATTGGAATGACGAGCAGGGCGTAATAATTTTGATTGGCCATGAAACAATGACAGCACTCACAGAACACAAGTCAGATTTCATCACAGCTAAATTAATGTTGTATTTGATTGGGTTTCGCTCTTGACTATAATCACTGTACACATTTGAACCAAGTATAATTAATGCGCTGTTTATTCCAGCGTGAGCAGTTTGGAGTATTCCGCTGAGGAGCTCATGTTAGAAGTGTATTTTGTTATCTCTGGTTGTTTTCCCTTCAGTCTCCTGCGCTGTCGCATCGTGGTGTGAATATGGGTGAAGAGCGCCAGCTCATACTGAGGCTGGAGCACGCAGAGCGCTGCGAGCATCACTTAAAAGAATCACTTTGGCGAAATGAAAAATGTAACCATCGCTACATCTGTTGTAAACATCCCTGCTCGCTTCTTATGCTAATCTCCAAAGCAAGACTGCCTGGTTTAGAGACTAGGAAAACCCGCTTCTGGTGATCTGTCTGAAGGTGGAAGTAAGTTCTGAAAAACTACAAGTGGAGTTATGAGCACCTCCTTGTTTCTACGCTCATTGTCCATTTTATCAGCTCCACTTACTATATAGGAGCACTTTGTAGTTCTACAGTTACAGACTGTAGTCCATCTGTTTCTCTGCATACTTTGTTAGCCCCCTTTTACCCTGTTCTTCAGTGGTCAGGACCCCCAAGGACCCTCACAGAGCAGGTACTATTTGGGTGGTGGATTACTATTTTGGGTGGTTACAGCACTGCAGTAACATTGATGTGGTGGTGTGTTAGTGTGTGTTGTGCTGGTCTGAGTGGATCAGACACAGCAGTGCTGCTGGAGTTTTTAAACACCTCAGTGTCACTGCTGGACTGAGAATAGTCCACCAACCAAAAACACCCAGCCAACAGCGTCCTGTGGGCAGCGTCCTGTGACCACTGATGAAGGACTAGAGGATGACCAACACAAACTATGCAGCAGCAGATGAGCTATCGTCTCTGACTACATCTACAAGGTGGACTGACAAGGTAGGAGTGTCTAACAGAGTGGACAGTGAGTGGACACAGTGTTTCAAAACTCCAGCACAACACACACTAACACACCACCACCAGATCAGTGTTACAGTTATCAGTGATCCACCACCCAAATATTACCTGCTCTGTGAGGGTCCATGGGGGTCCTGACCACTGAAGAACAGGGTAAAAGGGGTCTAACAAAGTATCAGAGAAACAGATGGACTACAGTCTGTAACTGTAGAACTACAAAGTGCACCTATATAGTAAGTGGAGCTGATAAAATGGACAATGAGCATAGAAACAAGGAGGTGCTCATAATGTTATGCCTGATTGGTGTATGTCCAATATATGATACTTACATATATGTACATGACATATGTACACACACACACACACACACACACACATTTTCTAAGACGCTTATCCTCCTGGGTCAAGTGGGGGATGCTGGAGCCTATCCCAGCTCTCATTGGGCGGAAGGCAGAAAACACCTTGGACAGATCACATATGTACATATATTTTTAAAAATATGCCTCGTTATGATATACACTATATTGCCAAAAGTATTACTCACCCATCCAAATCATTGAATTCAGGTGTTCCCATCACTTCCATGGCCACAGGTGTATAAAACCAAGCACTACAAACATTAGTGAAAGAATAGGAGCTCAGTGAACTCCAGCGTGGTAGCGTGATCGGATGCCACCTGTGCAACAAGTCCAGTCGTGAAATTTCCTCGCTACTAAATATTCCACAGTCAACTGTCAGTGGTATTATAACAAAGTGGAAGCGATTGGGAACGACAGCAACTCAGCCACGAAGTGGTCAGCCACGTAACATGACAGAGCGGGGTCAGCGGATGCTGAAGCGCATAGTGCACAGAGGTCGCCAACTTTCTGCAGAGTCAATCGCTACAGACCTCCAGACTTCATGTGGCCTTCTTCAGATTAGCTCAAGAACAGCATAGAGAGCTTCATGGAATGGGTTTCCATGGCCGAGCAGCTGCATCCAAGCCTTACATCACCAAGCGCAATGCAAAGCATCGAATGCAGTGGTGTAAAGCGCCGCCAC